TATGTTTTTATTATTTCACCTTCACATATTTTTTCCGTATTTCCGTCATGAATACTGTGACGAACCATTGTAAAATAAATTGAAGTTGTCTCTAATAGGAATACGTATAATAGAATTTCATATCGTTACCATGACAACATAGAATAACAGTTAATAATTGTTTCTTGCCACAGAATGCAATTATGACACAAATACAGATCGACCTGGACATGACATGAACGATGGCGCCATGAATAAGGTGTCCAACGTCGCAGAGTGTTGCAATTCATGTATGAACACTCCAAATTGCAAATCGTTTTCGTTTGACAAGCGACCAGGAAGCTCATATGGCAGTTGTTGGCTGAAAAACGACTGGGCACCAGCATGGAGCAACGACTGCTGTGACTCTGGAATAATATGGCCATGGCCAGAAGAAGGTATTTCATCTTGAGTGGGGTTGATTTTTGCCAGTCACTGACTTATATTTTATTGATACGCACTTGGTGTAAAATATGATTAGGCCCGGAAGTCTTGTACCATTCGCACCATGTGTTGTCAATGGGTAGAAGATATGATTTGGGTTTACAATGACGGAATTTCAACGAACATCGCCCTCTAGTGGCTAATTACTTTAGATCTGTCATCCGACAAGGTTTTGTGTTGAAATGAATTATTCAAGGTGTGAAAGATTTACTTTAAACAATGGTTCGTTTGAATCCGGGTAAAAAATAGAATCAGTGTAATACTGCGTTTGTTATTATTGATTTTCAGATGAGATTGATGAAAGCGAGACTGTGGATGAAAGTAAGTACTACCCTACCCCAAATACTTTAGTGTTTAACGAAGTATTATGAAATTATGAACATCTGTGTAAGTTGCACGTATATTGTTTTTAAATAAGTGAAATAAATTGATATTATCTTTTTTTGCAAAGTTTGCGAGGATAAACACGACAGTTGTAAGGCATGGGCTGCTAAAGGTGAATGTGAGAAAAACTCTGAATGGATGCTTCCTAACTGTCAGAAGTCGTGCGCACAGTGTACAGGTAAGATCATTATCCCCTCAAACTCTCGCGTAATATCTAGTGACTAGTACGTTATGTCCACAATTACTCGTATATATTAGATAGGAATATCGAATACAGCTTTCAGATTTTCATTTTTCGCATTGACCTCTGTCATGTGTTCAATAGGTACTGGCATTTGACTTGCGTTATCTAGGCATTCGTGATTTGCCACTGTTTGGTAGCGGACGTATTATACGGTGTTTACTGTCTCCCAACATATATATTGACAGAATACAGACTTTGCTCGAATACATACCAGGTTATTTAGATTGCTAATATATATTGTGGTTTGATATATTGTCTCGGGGAGGGGGGGGGATTTCACTACCGATTACATATATTACTCAACGTGTGAAGTGTGACTACAAATCCGTAGTCAGGGCTGTGTTGCGCCTGTGTTTTGTTTTACGCAATGTGTTGAGTTTCTCATCTAATTAATCATCATTCTCTGTCATTCACACTACAATGATTTGTCATGACCGTGCTTATATGATTAAATTTCGTTTACTAGTAATTCATTGCATATTTGGAATGGGATTAAAAATAGCAGACAATCGCATAGCAAAGGATGGTTTTACTCTTATTTTGTATTGACTGATATAAGCAAGTAATACAAACACGTTTTGGGTAGCCCGCCTGATTTGGTAACTACATTGCTTATTATTATTTTTCAGACGGAGGGGACGTCGTCGAAGAGCGTAAGTGATTTTACGCACTTTGTTATGTTCTTTTGTAAATATCATCAATGTAATCTAGGAAATATGAAATGTTTCTCAAAATATTATTATGAGATTGGAATAATATTATTTATTCTTTGTGACATTGGAGGAAAATATTTCATACATTCTACTGAATTTATCTCTTTTTGCAAAGTTTGCGAGGATAAACACGACAGTTGTAAGGCATGGGCTGCTAAAGGTGAATGTGAGAAAAACTCTGAATGGATGCTTCCTAACTGTCAGAAGTCGTGCGCACAGTGTACAGGTAAGGATGAGAGGACATCTCTAATTTGACACTTACATACAAACAGAAAGATGGTGGCGAGTCCAGTTCAGTAAATGTTGTACTGCAAACACCGTTTTCGTTTAGTTTATTTTGAGGAATTCCGAACAAAATATTATAGTGTTGCAGTATACAAACAATAAGTACGATAAGCAGAACTTGTTCTTGCCAATTGAAGAGACTTGATACGATGTCTGTATATTATGGTTCCTATATTATTTTGATATCGGTGATATTACCCATAATACCATTTAACAATAGTTGAAGTTAAGGATGATCGATGGGTCATAGACCACATATTTCATCAGCGTGAAATACAACAGTATATATAAACTGTTAAATGACTTTCATAAACAGCGCCACCAAGAATAGATGCTCGCCAAGAGTAGATGCTAAGTCAAGTAGTACTTCTTATTCTTTTTACTTCAATAAACTGCACTTAGCGAGAATCGGGTAGTGTGACGAAAAAAACAACTGACAATGTATCATGTCATAAATGGTTATTTATTTGATAGGCCCTGAAACCTGCATTGACAACAACGAGAGATGTAGATTTTGGGCATCTATTGGCGAATGTGATATAAATCCTGATTATATGCTGGTACACTGTGCAAAGAGTTGTAAGCAATGCTCGTCGGGTGAAGGTAAGAACATGCATTATATGAATCTGTAATAGACTATTTACATTATTTTATCACGTGGCAGACATTGTTACATTGTGAATATAAAATGAAGTCAATATTTAAAGGTAAATTCATGACATCGACAATCAAGTACAGTTGTCACTTAATGTTCCTAAACACTTTTTTTGATTTAAGACATGTTTCGTGTTCAAAGACGGCACATTTTGCTATACTGATTAAAGAGCGATGGTAGTCGCGCCGCGTCATGGTCGCTATGCAACGTAAAGAACGCGCCAATCAGATCGCCGGATTCACGATTTATATTCTCTGTATAAATTGAGAGAAGTTAGTTAGAATATGGCTTTGTCAGCTAATCTTGATTGACAGGAGATCGTCAAATAAACACACATGATTGGTTAATCTAATGCAACATTTTATTATTGGAGGGCGCATAGCCATGTTCGAAGCCGGTTACAAAATGACACGCCCTTTATACATGCTGTTGAAGTCACGAGCACGGACTTTTATAACCTATACAAATTACTTTGTATAAATTATTTACATGATATTCGAATTCGCGCTGCGCGATGACCACTGCATACATTTTCTTGGAAATGCGTCTGGTGACGTCATGTTTTATATTTGTTCGTATACTTCGTTCATGGTTATGGCATGATATATTACATTGCAATTATGTTTACGGGCATTTTTATTTTATTCTTTTCCAAATAGAATTTGATGATCTATGTTACTTCCGGTACAGTGAAAACACAAACATACCGTACAATGACATCAATACCACCCCTGATGCAGACGTTATAGATACACTTGGTTGTTGCCAACACTGCAAGACTACCCCAACATGCAAAGCGTTTTCGTTCGACAAGTCACGGTCGGCGTGCTGGCTGAAGAGCGCTTCTGACGGTGCATATACAAAAGACAATTTTTCCACCGGTGTTTTGATTTAAAGCGTTCAAGTTATCGCTCATTGTCTTTTATGTGGGTCGTATGGTTTGTTTTTGAGGTTTTGAAGGACAATGTTTAAAATGTATTAATCTTTTTTGCATAATAACTTTTATTCGATACTTGAGGCCCTACTATACCACGAGAACTATACCACGCATGCGTATTTCAGTATTTCAGTGTTTCATCGAATAAATACTTAGATGTGTGTTACAAGAACAGCGAAATTGCATGATCTCTTCCATATTGCACCTTTAAATGTAAGGTTTGACAATAAGTAATAAACATATTCAGACATGTAACAAACTAATACTAGTATCTCATTTATTGTCTGAGATTATGTTGGTGTGCTGAACACACAAACAAACAAACAAACAAACAAACGGATAGATATTTGAAGATAATTTGCATAATTAATGACACATTTCTCAGTTGCTATGGCACCAATCGTGACAATATTTTTTCTAATATATTTAAATTAGCAAATAACGAACAAAACGATACGAACGAAAACATTGCTGAAATTGATAAAATTATCTGTTAAATGTTTTTTGATAAAGGATTACCAAGAATCCATCGTGTTATCAAAAGTGCTCTCTAACATTGATATGAT